ACATATATTCTTGACAGTTTTCTTTTGTTCAGATCTTTGGCTTCATGCAAACATGACAAACTAGTTGGTCCCACATCACTTATCCCCGAAGGATGGTCTCACAAGTAACCCTATACAGCAGCCAGGGTGATGAACGGTTTCGGGAAGATCATCTACAGAGGTTGATCACGGTTGTTCGATGTCTTTCTTATGTCCCCGTGTACTCGCTCTATTTATTTGGTTGGCGCCCCGCAAGTTGCCATTTGGTTGTTGGTCCAATGTCTACATTCTACATCCTCTACCAGGCTCATTGTCGTTGCGCAGGGGACGTACCAGCAAGTAAATCTACCCGGCTGAAGATGTTGATTCAAGTTCAGATTTTGGTTGATGTGGTCAAGGTGTTGAAAGAAGGTTTACTAACTCCTATGGAAGTGACCTTGTTTTGTCACCGAGGATGTATCGCTCCACTGCTAGCTTAGGGAGAGGTTTGCCACAAGACCCTTGAAGACAGAAAGCTGTACTGGATGGTGTGGGAGTGGGCAATAACCACGGGACATGTTGGTGATGAATTGCAGACTCTTACGACAAGGCAGAAGTGGCCCCCTCCCTCGTTGCCGGTTAGCCGAAGGTGTCGGAAGCGCTCTTACTATGAATAAGTCGGCGTCTATTGTCTGCGTTTAGAACTGATTTGAGCTATTATGTCGCGCTGTAAGCCTTGCAGTGCAACCGCACCATCCCAAGGTCCAAAGTGAAAGCAACGTAACAGCAGGACGCTGACAGGTTTCATTCATGGCTGTCCCGTTTTCCTTTTTTTTGGTTGACGAGGGGTTTCATGGTGGCGCTAGTTGGACACTTGGTTGACACTCAGGCATTGGTATTGGACGCTCCTGCTTACACCCCCTTTTCCAGACCAGTTTCTAGCCGTGGTAAGGAAAGGTTGGTGTTCATGGGTTTTGGTTTCTGTTTTTTGAAAGCTCGCTCCACAATGAGGTGCTGGGCGGGGGGTGATGCTGCCAAGGAAAGGGATAATGCTGTCAGGGAGACTCCTGCGTGGGCTGTTGGACGGTTACTTCAAGTCGGAGCTGTCTCAAAAAACTACCACTTGTTTTGTTGGATGAAGAAGCCACACTAGCCTTAAATAGGATAGATGATTCTTGTTGCTTTCTTGCTCTGGGTTCAACGTGCCACCACCTGCTACCTTCAGATGGAATATTTTCGACCCTCGCAAGCTCTTTCTGTGTCCCGCAATCTTTTATCAAGGCCAGAGAAGGCCCGCAGAAAAACAAGGGCAAGGACTGTGCGCGGATGTAAAGGGCAAAGACATCTTTGCCATGGTCAAGGGCTCAATTGAATCAGGCTTTGCTCTGGGTTTATTCCCACGCTTTCCTCTCAGCTACGCACTCCTTCTTCAACAAGATCAATTTGCGAGGAGCCTACGCAAATAGCTCAATGCATTGGGATGGACTATCCACACTTGATACACGGGTTGGATTGGCCCCGCCCCAAAAGCCCAGTGAAATCATTCAAGGGCACAATTATGGAGAGTGTGGCACACCTGTCAGGTGGTGATGAGGGTGTTGAACAAGAGGGCAGTCGGCCGACCCTATCAGCAATTCCGACCTCAAGCTTGATAGAGTTCTACTTGCCTCTGCTGGCCTTTGACGTCTCAGAACGGTCAAAGTCCGGATGTGCGGGGTGTTGCAGCAAATCAAGATAGGTCTACCCACTCTAGTCACTTTTCAATATAGATATATACTGTATATTTTTCCCCGCTCTGGTCATTTAGGCGCAAAAGTAGCATGTCCATGCACTGACCCCCCTGCCAGATTTCTTGCACAGCCAGATGGCAGTCCACGTCAAATAATTCCTGAAAGATGGCTGCCGGCTGTCGTGGAATGCGCGTGGGTGTCAGGAGATGGCGCGTGTGCTATCTATAGTGGGTCTGTAGGGGTCAATGTCCGACGAAGAACTTGATTCTGAACATGTTCCCTGACTTTAGGCCGTTGATGTTGTTTTTTGGCCAGTTGAGGCAATGATGCTACCCAAAAGAATCCCGTCGCATGTGGCCAGAGGCTCAACTTCCAAGTGTGATTGTTTTTTCCAGGCTTTCATTATGAGCGGAGACCTCGCTGGTATCACGTGTGCTGCCCACGACTTTGAGTGAGAAAGGGTTCCTTTCATGACTCTGTGATTCTGAAGAATGAGGATCCTCCTGGATTTACCTTTGCGGGGGGCGGGGGTTGTATCAATGAAGATTTCACATGATCATTCATGTTCAGTTTTCAATTGCCCAAATGTTTGCCAAATGTTTCCTTCGTGGTGTTCAAAGAGACCTTCGCCAACAAGAAAGTCGTCTATATGATCCAGGTAAGCGCCCAGGGTCAAGACATCTCTGGGCCAAAAATATCGCTTTAGATGTTCAAACGCGGCATTGTATTACACATTTTTGTATGTAACTCCAGGGGTGCTGCGTGGGAGAAACACTGGGGCAAACAAAACGAACAAAACCAATCAACGACATGTCAAACAGTATTTTGATTGACATGGTGTGCGTTCATTTTGCCAGTGTGGATTACACACAAAGGGTCCACACCGGCTCACCTGGCAACGCAGGGAACATCCCCCGTAGCATGAAAGCAATATGCATCAGTTGCGCAGCTTTTTGCAAGCCGTGTCGTGCCCCCAAATAGGCTGGTTACTGGACGCGCCAGAAATCAACACTGCCCTCTCTCATCTCATTACAAGTATAGTTATCATGTTCAGCCCCAAACTCATGACCATCATTCTCTTCATCATCTCACCAGTTCTCAGTGCAACTCCTATACGTTTCTTGTTTGATTGCCCGTGGTTTGCCGCGCGTTCTCTTAGCCTGCGTGAAAGTAAAGCATGGGGCTTCGAGGGATTGAGCAGAAACCATGAAAGGTAAGGTGCTTGAAGCAGCAAGTGCCAAACAGAACCGCTTGGGATTTCATAAAGCATGTCCCTGCCTGGATTTAGCGTGGAGGCCCCGTGAATTGGCGCGTACTGCTTCGGATGGCTCACACAGTCAAGCGGCTCCACCGCCGACCAAATCTCGTAGTGCCGCACTGGGTGCTACTGGGGAGCATGGGGCTGGCAGTGGTTCGACCGCCGGACATGAATCCTGTGGCGGTGCAGACGATACTGATAAACCGGGATTATGTAGAGCAATGGTTGAGGGGGCACAACCTGTGACAGTGAATTGCTCTTTTGTCGTGTGTCAGTAGAGACTGTTCGTGGCGCGTGGCAGGTTGACATAGTTTTGCGAATAGCATGCAGCACATGATGGCAAAAAAAGAATGCTTTGCTTCTTGCCTCGAACCGTGTTTAGGTAAACTTTCGTTCGCAAGTATGTTTTTGTTGGAAGTGTCGTGGTAAGCATCCGTTGTTTGGACAAGGTAGCAGCTGTACATGTCAACGTTGATGTTCAAATTGACTTGTGAGGATATCATGAATGATGTCATCTGTGGTGGGAATGTGCGGAGCTCAAGTTGTTTCTGATCCACAATGATGATGATATTCAGGGCTTGACTGGGCAGAACTGTTTTTTAAGGAAGTCAGCGGGGTTTGGAAACGATATCGAGGGTAGTCGTGATGGACGACGATCATCGACGGAAAGTTGATGTTTTTTTGCGGGTGAAGTTCGTGAATTTTCTGCCCGAGGCGGTGGAGGAGGTGGACGTACATCGTGTCCATAGCTGTTCAGTGCGTGATAGATTCATAGCCCCGCACTAGTAGGCTGGAACCGCATGAAGAAGAAAACTTGCGTGAACTGCAAGGATTGCGGTTGGAATTTTGGGACTGGAAGTGTTGCGATGTCCGTAGCAGGCGGAACATGTTCATTGCAAAGTCTCGAACTTTACTCGTTCAATTGGGATGTGGTGGCCAGGCGTGCAGGCAGGTTTCGTTGGCTGCTTTGGATGAGGGCATGGCAGGGCTGGAAGCGCGGAATCATTCGACTTGATACATGTCGGGCTTGAAATGCCTCCTACGGGATTTGAAGGGCTGGAGACTGCTCTGTCAAGGCACACCCAGGGCTGAAATCAGCCCTGATACTTTTTGGCGCAGAATCATTTTCCGCCCTTGGAATCCAGTGATGAAAGCTCAGAAGCACTTCCAATGACGCCGCGCCCACAGGATCCGCCTGGGGATTTTACCGAGACCATCCAAGAGACCCGCCGACAGAAAAAAAGAGAAAGACAGAGATTACCGATGAGAAGGACATGCATGGAGTATAAATTTAATATGCTGCCGAAGCTCATTGTTTACAATGTTTGAAATTGTACGCCTCAACCCGACTTAGTGGGCATCGCGCAAGGACAGTTCCGACATGCCTCTAGAGCTAGAAACGTGGTTCTAAAGGAATGGCTTGTGACAATGACAATGCTCAAGTCTGAGAGCTGAAGGTGACATGGTAGGAACTGTCCGCGTGTCTCTTCATTCTCTAGGGACTTAATTCTCTTGGATTTGATCGCGCAACAGGAGGCAAAAAATAGGGTTCTTGATGGCATTGTCATGGTTTTGACTGGAGTGGTACCTGGAGTGGTGGAATTAATGTCTGACGCTTGATTCTTATTTGCTCTTCAGGATGCCTTCAGGGTGTGTGGGTACCGAGCTTTTTTTTTTTAACAGTTTTATGGTCTTTTCCATATTAATATGATCTCACTTTCCTCACTTACAGTGTCTTGGCACCGAAGTTTTTTTAAACAAATTGACCTTCGAATTGGGAGACATTTATTGCATCATTCGCATGTGCATTCACACCATGGAGGCTTTCACGGTATGTTGGTGCGGAGCTTTTGTTGCAGACTTTCATGGTATTTTGCTCTTAAATATGACGTCATATGCTTTATTCACGGTGTGTGGGTACCGAGCTATTTTTTGACATACAAACTTAAGCTTTGCATACACATATGACATCGTCCGCCCAGGTTTGCGGCCAGAGTTTGCCAGACGCACATCCGCCGGGCGACGAAAGCAGACAGCCTGCTGACCTCGCCTCATCAAGAGGGTGAGCAGTTCAGCCTTACTCTTAGCAACTGCAACTGATCCCCGTCCACCAACACCCGATCCAGTTCTCCTGTGTGATCAGCCAAGGTCACAGTAGCCAAAAAGGACGATACTTCTTCGCGGATGGTTTGGCAGCCCTGCTGTGCGTGGCGCTTGCAATGTCCAGCGACCGGGTCAACCTTTAACCCACAGTTCTTGCGCGGAACGTACATTGGATCCCCCAGAATGCCCGTGACCCAGACGCTGTTCAACTGCACTTCGATGAAGTTGTCCTGCGCCTGTGAGGAACAAGCCGAACCAAGACACAAACCATGAGAAGCGATGATTCCGTAAACCCAACCCGAAAGCAACCCCACCAAAAAAGAAGGCAACGAGTTAATGGCGGTCCACTCATATGTCTTCGATGTCAAAAGACAATACGGAAGCTATATCATCTTTCCCTACGGCGGAGCGGCCTCCAGCATCGCATCCGTCGGCGCCAAAGAGCATGAAGAGACAGTAGCGCAGCCAGATATGAACTTCTCCGATCCATCCGACACCATCCGACGCGAAGCCGTCTGGAGCCAAGGCACGGAGAGCGCCTCGCCTCGAGTCTCTGCCAAGGCCTGCAATTTCCCAAAACGAGATCCTGTGGGATTGTCATGCAGAGCACTGAACATGTTCTTGCTGCTATCTGCCCAGTGCCCGCAACTGGCCTCAATGCCGGCAGGTATCTTTGACAACAAAGCATACCTAGCCAACGGCGATTTCCTCCAGAGACGCACTACAAGCTCTTGTCCAGACTCATCCTTCAACCACAGAGTCACCTTCAGCACTTTCATCGCAGGCGTCTCCTTCTGGGTAACTTTGCCGATTAAATCTGCCCTTTCTCTTCCCTCAGAACGTTGCGTCAACACCCCGAAATTGGACTTGACAATGGGGAACATGTCCCGCAACTTCATCGCAGTGGCGTGTGCCTCTGCCACGGGCAATGCCTTTCCCTTGTTCGTGACGTCAGTAGAAAAGCCAGACAAAAAAGGCGAATTCTCCACTACAACAGCTTGCGTCAACTGGATGAACTTGGGCTGGAAAAATTCCTGGGCTCGCTTTCGCGCAATGGATTCAGAGGCTTTGATTTCTGCATAGAGCCCCTGTCCCTTTTGATCCACCAGACGAACGATTGCCTTCCAAAAAGTCTTTCCTTCCTTGCCGATCAATTGCTTCGTTTCATGGTACACTGGGCGCAGGGCCACCGCCACCATAACCATGTGGGTGTTGCTTTTCGTAATGCGACCCAGAGCCACTTCTTGCAACGACATGTTTCCGGATCGTGGCTGCCAAAGTTCCGTCAATAAGTTCACGCAGCGACAAGACAAAGCAGGAAACGATAAATTCAGATTCAATTTGGACCAAAATTATTGCAAGGGCTGAAGCCAACGCAGCAGCTGTGCCAAGACAATCCAGCGTCTCCGATTACAAACAGCTACGACAGCAATGCACTTTTCCAGCTGCGAAATTCAAAAAATGAGGCTGCTCGTCAACTCGGAGAAGCGTCTCCCGACACGGACAGTCCCATCCGTCAGAAGACTTTTGGTCAACCGAACTGGACATGATCAAGTATCATCGCCCTTTAACATAGAAAGGAAGCAACAAAGGTCTTTGTTGCCGTAAGGCTCAAACAGCCGGAGGCCAATGCGGCGGGCGCAATATGTCGCCACTGCGTGCGTGTTGACGGGGATGTTTGACTCCCTGTGCCCATGGTGCTCAATAATTTCCAATCAGCCTCCGACTGATCGGAATGCAGCAACTCCAAAGCAAACATGAGCGCCCTCAGGGCACATACATCCGTTCTGTACTTCAACGCAACAATCCTGTGGCCATTTTCACCCGTCTGTTGCACAGCATTATCCAACTGTGTCATCGCAGGCTTTCCATCCTTTTCGAAGTCCATGCTTTTGCGCGGGCCCTTTCGAAACGACACGTAGTGCACACAAGCTTCATTTGGGCAGGCCCTGCTTTTATCTTTCACGCAGTGCAGGTGGACAGGCAGGACTCACAGCTCGCCCCATGGATGCGCGATATGGTTTGCTCGATCTGTTGTGAGATAAAGTCACCAAAGCGTAGTCGCAAGCATATAGCGATACCATTTTATGGCCCATATATTTGCACTTTGATTCTTTCACCCCCTCCACTCTGACGGGAAGTCCCTGTTAAGAGTGTAGAGTTATTCGCAAGGACCTGAAAATATATAGATTGCTTCACGTACAGTGCAAGGGTGGTGTCAGCAGAATCCCAAGCGATCGCCCGGGTTGAGCGTATCTTCGGAGCCGTACGACAAGCGCCACGCAAATGTAATGAAATGCAAAACAGAACAGATGCATGTACGAACCTGTTTCAATGAGAACATAAAGTTTCTTCAACATAGAAAGCATCACACTGCACACAAAAAGTGGCTGACTGCTATGTTTTTTCCTTTTCTCCGAAGAGCAGTTGGCACGACCCCACACCCCACGGACGGACAGCTCCCACTGCGAAGGACGCGGTCATAATGTGTCTCAACGGGACGGCTCAAGAAACATACACTTTTGGTAATTCCACTGTGCCCAGAGCAAGCAAAATGGCAGCCTCACATCCTTGCTTCGACATCGTGAGACTATCTTTGCATCTCTGTAGTTCAATCCACTGTTTCGCAAGCTGGATGCCAGCAGCAGTCAGAGCATCGCACTGCGCGTGCAGTCAAGGTATCGGCCAAGCCTCACATATCCCAACATTTCTCACATATTGCAGTCCTCTTGAAAGAGGCCTTGCCGGCTTCGGTTTCAAAAAGCTGTTGTGGATCAATGCAGGCGCCTGCCGCAAGGTGCCGGCCCACCAAGAAGATCTCATTCTACCGCTCTTTGACACGATCCAACAAAGGCTGTCGCAATGTTCCGACTTCAGATGCCTGCTCCATGGCTTTGAATACGTTCCTGGAGAAGCAGAAGACAAGCTAGGGCATTTAAGAGCAAAGAGGCTACAAATGTCAGCGAATTGTGTATTATCAACTCAGGAAACTCTGGGCCACAGGAAGGGGAAACAACCACAGAGGCAAGGGCCAAGGAAAGGGTGAAACTCGCGTTTAGTCAATCTTTTTTTTCCAAGACATCACACATAGCACAAGTACAGCAAGAATACATAAGAACACTGTCCAAGGTCAAAAGTAGGTCGCTTAAAACGAAATGGGCTCGCCAGTGAAGGCGGAGCTGCTCAAATAGTGTGGCCATGGCTGTGTCCATGAAAATTTAAAGTTCTTTCCCTATTCTATGGAAACTGTTCATACAACATTGTGATCATATACCTTCTTGACGGCGTGTCAGCTTGAGAGAATGTTGGATGTCATTTACAAAAGCATTGCGGTACCGAGACTTTATATACATATATATCGATATGTTCATACGAAATGGTCTTAGTGTTTGCCTTTCCGGGCATTTTGGTACGGAGCTTCTTTTGCAGACTTACATGGTAATTTTCGTATGAGAATGAGATCATACGCATCGTTCACGGTCACGGCATGTTGGTACCATGTGCATTCACATCATGGATGCCTTCACGGTAGGTTGGCGCCGAGCTTTTGTTTCATACTTTCATGGTATCTTGCGTATAAATATGACGTCATGTGCTTTATTCACGGTATGTAGGTACTGAAGTTTTTTGAATATGAACTTGAACTTTGTATACACATATGACATCATACTGAGTTGATCCTCTCGAAACTTGATCGTTTCTTTACATTTGCGCACGTTGTCTGAGGGTCGCTGTTGCCGTGATGTCTATTGAGCTTTTTCAATGAAAATTGACATCGTAACTGCGCTAGTCCCAGAGGCTTAGAAGTTCGCTATTTTTTTTCGGCGGCAGTGGATTTTCTCGCCATTCTGTGTCTCTTGCAGAGCTTGCTCCTTGAGTCGTTTGCTCTCAGGTCACCCTTGCGTCCATTTCGTGCGGACTTCAGTGTGGAATGGACGTTCTTCAGTTTGGTTCGAACCTCTTCAGCGTTGTGCTTGCACAGCGAGAAATGCGCCAAGGTTGGCGCTCCTGACCCACAACGTTGCGCTGCCGTTGCATCTGCGCATCTACGTCAACGCACCCTCACCTCTGTACATTTACATCTTCACACGCTCACATCTGCAGATCTACCTCTCTACCTCCACACACCCACACATCTGCACATCTATATCACTTGCGCATCCACACTGTCACTCCTTCACATCCGCCCTCTCTTTCTCTCTTTCTACATATCTTTTCTCTTAATATTCTACAGCTAATTTCTTCGCAACTTCTTACTCAATAACAGATTCTATAAAGAAGTCATGGCTCGTGGACAACTCGATTTTAACTATTTCCTTACTCGGAATCGCTCTCGGGCCGACCGTCGTCTAGTTCTTGTCTCCTTGTTCATCGCTCGCGCTTTTCCTTTCCAATTGTGATGGCAAGTCATTGTCATTGAGTGCGCGCGTAAAGAACATCAGTGGTGGCTGCAGTGAAAGCGCTTCGCTTGTGTCTGTGGGTGATGGATTAAGCTCACTGGAGTGAAACCATGTGGCGGTTTCTATCTTACCCCTTCCGGCGCAGGAAACTGCTAGCCGCATCAGTGACTTGGGATTGTCTATGGTAGCGGAGGCTGTCTTGGAACTGTGTTCGTCTTTGCAGTGCCCCCGCACCCAGCGGCGCAGGAACATGGATCTCATGGGTGCGTTGCAGAGACGACCCGCAAAGAGGAGTCGGGCCACGATAGCATCTGTACACGTGTAGAGGGCTGCTGCAAAGAGCAACGGGTCAACTTCGATGGTGGTTGTGCGCTCAAAGCAGCTATCGCACACATCTCCACATGTCCACAAACGCAGAAAGATTCCTGATCCACTCTGTATTGCCGCGCTCCTCCTCAGCCAATTTCAGAGCGTTGCAGCTGCTCGCAGGGCTGGCGACAAAGAGGAGGAGGCGCCTGCCTGCTTGCACTAGTGCTTCGCTCCAAATTCCATGTTGGGGCGGCCCCGCTTTCATAGATCGAGCAGGGACGAGGATTAAATCTGCACTCGTTGTTGCGTGGTAGCCACTGCCAGCAGGTGGTGGCAAGCGTGCTTGCTGTGACATACCAGCCAGGCTCTTGGGCCGTGTGGTACATGTGTATGGCAAAGCTATTTTCGCAACTCTTGTGATGTGAACACGATGTTGACGCATGCGCTTCTCTTGCCAGCCGCCGCTTGGATAACGGCCGCTTGATGAGCGAGCCGTCGCTTGGATAACAGCTTGATGAAGCAGCCGTGTGGTCCATGTGGATCGGCCACGCGCAATAAGGGCTGCAGCCCAGTGACGCCGACCGCAGGAAATGAGGTGCTGAGCCACAAAAGCAGGCTGGGACCAACCGTGGTCGTTGTGTTTTTGATTTTTCTTGCAACTATTGGTAGAGCTCCCAAACCCTTCTTGTTTGAATTCTTGTTTGAAGTCTTTCTCTCTATATAGACATATATATATATATAGTTTTTTTTTTGAAACGTGTTTTTTGATTCCAACTCGTTTCTTGCAACTTCTAATGTTCAAGAAAAGTATTCATTCATTTAAGGTAGGCAGGGTCGGTGATGAAGAATTGTTTGATGTGAGTCATTTCAATCACACTCCCTGAAACTTGTGGTGGCAGTGGCATTCTCACAAATGGGCGCAGTGTCTCTGCAGGAGCCCCTTTTGAGATTTCTTTGCACCATTGCCATGGAGGACCTGGCACGTTTGCACGCCGCAGAGCAGGATAAGCTCACGGCCTGTTGCACTTCAGTGGGCAACTGTTCTGCGATTTTGCCTTTTCTTCACACCCTATGACGCGGCCTTTGCAGAAGCCAGCCGTGGCTGACGGATGGGAGCTTGCTCGGCGCGAAAGCGAGCTTGGTCTTCGGCGAAGCGCCCGACTGCATGTGGTGCAGCGCCGGCCCATGAGCAGGAGTACTTGGCCGCGATTGGAGAAGTTGCGTGCTCGAGACTTGTCGTCGCCAGGGTTTTGGCTTTGCCAGCATGTACTTCGATGACTTGACTGTCCAGGACTTGGGTAGCATGAAAGGGTCAGCTCAGCATTTCATTACCAACTTGGCCACTTACATGGGACCCCATTCCAGGCGAGCGGCGTCGGACGCAGCCAAACAGCATTGTTGCTGACCTGGTTAACACGCCAGAAGGGAGCGAATGAGGTCGAAGGCTTGAAGAATCCCATCCGCATGTTCAGAGGAGTATTGACGCTCCTTCAGGGTGTTCACGCCTGCTCGCCCAAGCAACCGAAAAGATCAGATTTGGCAGTGAG